TAGTAGTGCGGGGCCTTCGGTGGCGAAGTGGTTCCACATGGTCCTGCCATGGTCACCCTCCACCCAGTACGATGTCATATAGTCTGTAAACTGTTCCACCCCAGGAGGTGCATCTTCCAGGGCCTGCCACCACACATCACTCACACAGTCCACTGGTACCAGGGGCAAAGCAATCGCTCGTCTTACAAGACGACCTATGTCCGGGTTGTCCTTATATTCAGTTACCATTCCAAGCTTCTGAACTTTTCTCCAAACACTCTGGCTAAAGTGAAAGTAGCAACCCTTTAATATGGCATTTTGAAAAGTCATCTTGATGGCGTTTTGAGCAGCTGACTCAAAATCAGTGAACACACTCACTGGATCCAATACAATGTTCTTAGAGGCCGCTACATTCTTCACATTTTCAAAGAAACGTTCATATGTCGACTGCTTTTATCTGGGAGCAGACCATACACCAAAGGGCACATCTTATTTTGCAGTAATAAAATGCATGAATGGTGTAAAGCTGGGTGAACACACCAGGGCACTTGTCAAATGTTCCGTCACAGTAGTACACATCTGCTTCGGAGAGAAGTCGCAGGTTCTCGTCAGTCGCGAAGGTCAGGATCTTGTCATGGTCGCCGTGAGAAAACAGCAGGAAGTTGTCATTGGCATGCGTCTTAGTATATGCATCGGGAAGATCTATTGCTGATCTAGTTGCTGGCAGATGGGGATGTCTTTGGCTCGAAGAGGAGCGGTATAGAGCAGGACGTACACTGTCAAAGATGGGCACTTCTGCAATGATGTCAGGATTCATCACTCTCAGACCTAGAACAGAGAAACACAATGTTAAATTCAAAGAAAACTGTTGTAGTATTTTAGTATTTAATAGTAATTAAAAAGTTGCCAAGTATTTATGTTAATATTTACCTGATAACTCCTCCTGATAAAGAGATGGAATTGGTTTGGAATCTTTTTCGGACAAGGTCCTTAAGATTGGCCAAGAAAGAATCTACAGCGATTCTATTCTCCACAGATGCATGGTTATGCTGGTCTCTGTAGGACGTGAGAATATTATCTTTGGTGTTAACCGTGGCATGGCAGTTCTTCTGGGCGCAGTTCCAATGGACAGATGTTCCTCGTCTTCTTTTAACTACAAACTTGTAATTTTGGAACACTAAGTACTGACCACCTCTACCATTAGGGAATAAACTGGACATTAACCTGTTGGTTAGCCATCGTGACTGACCTTAAAGAACCTCATGTACCATTTTATAATCGTGTAATAGTGAAAAGTGTTCACTGAATTAAAAAACACAAATAGCATAATCGACACAATTTAATTAAAGTTCACGAACAGTGTTCACTGTAACAGGGCAAATCAGCTAATTAGTGTCACCCACCAGGACCACATTTCAGAGTGAGCAGTGTAATCACTAACCCGTGTCAACTAATCCCATCTAATCCCTTGTCAAAACTAAAGGGTGGTGGATAAGTGAGAATGAACCAGTACAAGCAGCCACACACGTTATCGTTATATATACAATGCTGCTTAACGCGACGCTTACCCCATTTCACCTCACTTGTAGCATCACAACAAATCGGGTCATATAGCTACAGCAAAGAAATACATTTGTAGTTACAACATATGTCGTTTCATTATCGATTTCGTATTCTTTTGGTATATCGGGGTGTGGCAGCTCAGTGGTTAAAGCGTTCGCTCGTCACGCCCAACCTGTGTGCGAAATAGCCACTGGCCCGCTAGCCCATGGCTAGTAAAATTCCAGTAAACCTCCACAGTCACTGGCCCGACTGGCTAGTTAATTTTCATGGGGTCATTTTATAAATATTTCACTCTCTCCGACCAGTTTAGTTATACACTTTTAAATCATGCAAGATTATGGCCTGATAACAATGTTCATCATATAAGCAGCTTAATGATGAAACCCGTGTCATGCCGACAATATCTTAGTCTCATCTACTTGTGTAACTTTTGCTTAGTTTCTAGATTCAAATTTCTGGCTAGTGAATTATTTTGCAAACTAGTAACTTTCAGGCATAGCTAGCCCGACTGACTAGCAATATGTGGAAACTATTACGCACACTGCGCCTAACACCCGGGTTCGATTCCCCACTTGGGTACAATGTGTGAAGCCCATTTCTGGTGTCCCCCGCCGTGATATTGCTGGAATATTGCTACAAGCAGCGTAAAACTAAATCACTCACTTTTGGTATGTCAGTTTTAACCAACCACAATGGTGACAACAACACATTCACGGATGACAACTTGTTAACTTGATAACAAACAAATAAGGGGAGCAGGTGATAGCAGTGAAACGGTATACCGCGGTACTAGTAGTACCGCGGTATTTCGCCTTCGGTTCGGTATACAGTAATGCAATCCATAAATTTGGTATTTTCGGTTTTCGTACCGTCATTTCTATCTAGTCATAACATGGCAGTTTTGTTCATTCAAACTAACATAGATTATGGTCTTTTGTCCATGTTAATAAACAAAGTAAGGTTTAGCTCTTGTCAATTTTCTGCATTATGATAATATCTCATATACCGAACCGAAGGCCTTGTACCGTAATACGTACCGTACCGTGGTAAGAGCGTACCGTTTCACCCCTATCAGGGGTCAGGCTAGCTGACTTAAGTTGATGCATGTCATCGTACCCCACGATCACATCGTTTCACAAATACAATATACCACGAGATGACGTGTTTAATTAGTCAGGATACCCATGAATGTTGCCCAGCTGCCAAATGTCATGACATGGACCGCGTATGTGATGGCACCAAATTATGTCAATTGATGCTCTTGATGTTAATCACTGGATTATTTTACCCTTGAAGATCCGGGTTAGAATTGGTCTTCAGTAACCCATGCTTGTCGTCAGAGGCGACTAACGGGATCGGGTGGTCAGGCTCGCTGACTTGGTTGACACTAGTCGATGTTTCCAAACTGCGTACATGCTCATGCCGTCGATCACTGTATTGTCTGGTCCACACTAGATTATTTACAAACCGCCGTCACATAGCTGGAAAATTGCGTACCAACACCAACACCCAACAACACCTCCCCCCGCAAAGAAAAACACCAGCAAAAATCCCAACTTTTGGAACACGGTTTTTTGCAAGTTACGTTTAAACAACAAAAGGTAACCAACTCTATTTCGCTCAGTTAATAATGATATCTGACGACCTAATTGGGTGTTGAATTGCTAAACTCTATACAAACTATTAAAGATTTTACTTAAAAACTATCATATAAAGTTTCTGACAACATTTTCACAAGGGAGTACTGGCAAGACAAAAGAAAACGTCACAAAGGTGACGTACTGCAAGGTAATCACCGAATTCCACAACCAGTTCGTGGGAAACGAGGCCGTGGCAATTGCACGCTATAACGTGTAGCGTCGCTGACTTCGTGGCGCCAAAATAGCATGACCAACAGCCAGCCTTTTGTCAGCCGCGATATTTGATAGATGTTTGACAGAACCGCTTTTGTGTTGATCCAGATTGTTGAAACTGTTCGTGTTGAGCTAGTGTTCCTTCTCAGTGTTAAGATGCATGTCAACATGGACTGTAGACAAATCTGGTATGTCTGGACATTCTTCAGGTCAGTTGTCCTGTCGATCACTAAATGAGAGTGAGTGAGTTTAGTTTTACGCCGCACTTAGCAATATGCCAGCTATATGGTGGCGGTCTGTAAATAATCGAGTCTGGACCAGACAATCCAGTGATCAACAGCAGGAGCATCGATCTACGCAATTGGGATACGATGACACGTGTCAAGCAAGTCAGCGCGCCTGACCACCGATCCCGTTACTGGGTTACTGAAGGTTCATTCTAACCAGGACCTTCACGGGTCGATATAGCTGGAAATGTGCTAAGTGCGGCATTAAAAAATAAACGACAAACATACATGTACACCTGCACTCATACAAATACAACTCTCACAAACACTCACATCCGCTCAAAACACCCGCACATGTACAAGTAAACACAACACCCAAGGCATTGACACACACATACACACACATGCACACACACGCTTATACACACACATACACTAAATACACACTTAAAACCCATACGTTTCATTCAGCAGCACATATACAAAGAAAACACTACACGCATGAAATCCAACACATACTAACATACACGCACATGCACACATACTAACAGGCTTGCATACACACACGCACACGCACACGCGCACGCGCATGCATGCACATACACACACGCACTTATATGCTTATGCATACGCATACGGGTCGTTATTCGCTTTGCCTGGGTTTGAATACAACAACCGTACTCATTATAAGTATGTAACTCAACACTATACCCGGGGGTTTCAGCAAAGAGCTAAACATCTAGGCACTAAATGGCTGACACGTTTTGTAGGGTTAACGTTTGCGTTTTGGCATCTTTTGTCCCACATCGATCTTTACCGTAATAGAGGGCTGTTAAAGAGGGGTTAGCCTCAAAATCCTCTTTATAACACGATGACAGTATGTCATGATACTAATAAACTCACGCTCTGAGCTAATATCTAATCTCTCTTCACAAATATATATTTCGATCGAGAGAGAGAGAGTGAGAGACGAGAATGCAGTATTGTTTTACGCCGAGATCAAAATCAATATGATATTATAGCTAGGTATTCGCGTATCCAGTTGTCGAATCTGGCCCCAACAAACCATTTATGACCCTTTCTATCTCCTTTCAGACTGAAGGAGACTGTCGCAGATTTCATCAGCCACCTGCAGACAGACTTCCAGCCACGTGTTTCATACTTTGCAAAGTAGGTCTTCTTGCACACTGTTGTTGTTTGTCTATTTGGTTTCATGCAGACATCCATTTTGAACAATATCATCCGAACAGTAAATTATAGTCGCGACAGGCTGACCAGAAAGTCACGACAACCAATGGATTCTGGTTGCCACAGAAACGCGGGTTTGTCTCAGGGAACAGCAAAGAAATGCTTCATGTTGTAATGTATTACGATATAATACAATGTAAAAAAATTTATTTCACATGTTGTATAATAAATAAACTCTCAATAAATAAATAACATTTAGGGAAATAAATAAACGAGCAAATATAAACGAACGAAACAGTAACCAAGACGGCCGAATCCAGGGCCAAAATAAAACTATAGACATTAGATGGTCAGGAACTGTTCATGCTGCCAGCATCCCAGGTGGTTTCATCCCCAGGATCCTCATCCCCTGGAATGTCTTTCCCCGCATCACGGGCACCTGTGAATGACTTCATCGTCATCCACTTCATCACATGCACATTCAGCACGTGATGACCTACACTTGCACATACCGCACGTGATGTCACACATTGCACCATACAAATTTCATTTGAAGTTGTAGGATGACCTAACTGCCCTAAACGACATTCCTTCCGAAACGAAACTCTGTTATCACTCGAGAAACACTTAAAATCATTTCACAACCGAGATAAATTAATGAGTGCTTATTGTGATATTAGACGATGACAAGCCGAACCAAGAAATGCGCTCACAATAAAGTTTCACATCCTTGAACTACTTTCAAAAGGTCTCTTGTTAATTTAAATATTTAATTCAAGTTTTTGATCATGCAGCTCGCTCGGTCTCAAGCATGTTGTTTGTCCGTAGTAATTGCTTTTTAATGGCAGTCTTTGGAGATAAGTCAAAGCCAAACACTGTATCACAACGCACACAAGCCATCAGGTTCCCCATGGTACATCCGGGGCTGTTTTACATCGTAAGAGTTATCGTTCCTAGCACTTGGTTCCGTCTTGGCCGATGCTTCTAAACGGGGTTTACGATCCTGGCTCAGAATCACCACATACTCTCTCGTTTAAGTTCCACCCATATTTCCACTTTACAATGGTTCTGAAACTCCAGGTTTGTGCAACATTCAGTGTAGAGCTCCGGTCTGTCGTAGTGGGAGCTGCAGTAATAACACTTGGTTGCGGTGTCGCGGTCGCCGCAGCCTACATCCTTCTCGGTGGGCTTTGACGTCACGTAACTCAAGATTGATAGGTAAAACAATACTAATAGAAGCTTGGTCATCTGAAATCAAACAAAGCAACGTCATTAAATACAAGGGTACAACTATGGATTTCCATAAAACTAATTGCATGAATTGAGTGAGTGAGTTTAGTTTAGTTTTACGCCACTTTTAGCAATATTCCAATAATATCACGGTGGGGGACACCAGACATGGGCCTTACACATTATACATTATGGAAAATAGCACTTAATACATGCACGTATTATTATGTCCATGTGGGGAATCGAACCCGGGTCTTCTGCGTGACGAGCGATCATTTTAACCACAAGGCTACCCCACCGCCCTTGTATGGTTTGAAGCAATGACCCGAGCTATCCAAGTCCATGGTCTCTGAGTGAGTATGTTTTTACGCCGCTTTTAGCAATATTCCAGCAATATCACGGCGGGGGACACCAGAAATGGGCTTCACACAATCTACCCATATGGGGAATCGAACCCGGATCTTCGGCGTGACGAGCGAGCGCTTTAACCACTAGACTACCCCACCGCCCCTGTATGATTTGAAGCAATAACCCGAGATATCCAAGTCCATGGTCTCTGAATCTGATCATGGAAACCAAGGGTTGATATCGTGAGCCTGATCAGTTTGTTACAATGTTACACAGCCCGGTTAGACAACCACCGTCATCTGTTTGTTTCGGCATTTTTAAACAAGCATGGTGATCTCCGCCCCAAACCCTTTATGACACAGAAACAATGAAGAATTGAATGGAACACAATTAAAATGTACCAACAATAAACCTTCACCTTATTATTGGTAGCCTAGTGGTTGAAGTATTCGCTCGTCACGCCGAAGACCCGGGTTCTAATCCCCACATGGGTACAATGTGTGAAGCCCATTTCTGGTGTCCCCCGCCGTGATGTAGCTGGAATATTGCTAAAAGCGGCGTAAAACCAAACTCAGTCAGTCAGTCAGTATTGGTAGCCTAGTGGTTGAAGTATTCGCTCGTCACGACGAAGACCCGGGTTCAACTCCCCTTATAGGTACAGTGTGTACCCATTCCGCCGTGATATTGCTGGGCCATTACTAAAAGCGCCGTAGAACCTTAGTTCATTCATCTTACTGTGGCGGGTTGTTTCAACATTATATTTCCTTTCAAAAGTTTAGACTCACTAGTGTAAATGTACCCACTTACTTCAGGCAACTGTTCTAAACTAGATTGTGCAAATATTCCATAATGTTTAAAGGTTCTGTTTACACATGAACTGATGTATTGTAAAACAAATTGGTAACGTTGAAAAGATTATTGTCGTGAGTTCAATAAAATGATGAAACTCAGTGAAAATTGACGAATTCTTAACAAAACTTTACACCTAAACGCAGCTGTTCACATGCACGATATTTGCACATGCTTTTCAGCAATTTGATGCATGATCCTCGGAATTCATCTGCGTAAGGTTTGCAGTTGGTTCCCCATGTAGTGGAGAAATCAATCTTCGATGTAACCATATATATACTTAACCTATAGTGAGTGTTTGAAGTGAGTCTAAACTTTTGATGGGAAGTATGTAAGGTGTTTTTGAAACATATTCTACCTCGAAAAGTCACATTGACGTGAAAGCAAAAATACTTTAAAATATTTCTTTTGTAAATATTGAGCTAAAAAATTGCATGTACCCTGTACATTCACATTTAAAAAGAGCAGAAACGTAATATTGCAAAACAAACATTAAAATAACAACAACCGCAAAATGCAAAACCTACTTTTCAAATCGTGTGATTTAAAAATTTCAATTATTCTTAACATCCATAGCGCATCATCTAAATGATTCTGAAATACACTTGACACTTCCCTGAATCCTAATATCAACCAAAAAAACATTGAATATTTCAAACACAAAAGGTAAAAACAAACATTTATGGCCAGTAATCAGTATTTCCATCTGAGTCAGAACATGAAGGCTTTTATTTCATTTTATTTTTATATTTATATATGTTTATTTCGTTTTTTGACGTGGGCATTTCAGGTGACCGTGGCCAGTTAAAAATCGTTAAAACCTATAATGCAAGGTGAGATTTCTAATGTCATCCCAGATACCCATCCTCGTCCCAGTCTTTAGCAGCAATATTAATGTAAGGGTCAGTGAGTGAGTATGATTTTACGCCGCTTTTAGCAATATTCCAGCAATACGGCGGGGACACCAGAAATGGGCTTCACACATTGTACCCATGTGCGGAATCGAACCCGGATCTTCGGCGTGACGAGCAAACTCTTTAACCATTCGGCTACAAAACACACACACACACACACACACACACACACACACACACACACACACACACACACACACACACACACACACACACACACACACACACACACACACACAGAGGTGGGGTGGGAACCCAATCAGTCCGTTGCCTTCGAGTTCAAGTTTACGAGCAGCCTCAAATTGGTTAAACATGCGATTCCTCCGAGTTTACGAAATACAGTAAAACACGTCTGTAACTCTCGTATTACGAATAGACGGATACAACGAACGGTAAGTATTGTCCCGGTCACTACAATGAACTGCGTTTATAACGAACTAAATTTAGTAGTCCTTAGTTCGTTATAACCGTAGCTTCCCGATGTTACACCTGAATAGAGTGACCCGTGAAGGTCCGGGTTAGAATGAACTTTCAGTAACCCTTGCTTGTCGTAAGAGGCGACTAACGGGATTGGGTGGTCAGGCTGGCTGGCTTGGTTGACACATGTCATCGGTTCCCAATTACGCAGGTCGATGCTCATGCTGTTGATAACTGGTTTGTCTGGTCCAGACTCGATTATTTACAGACCTCCGCAATAACAGGGTTAGTGGATAGTGGAGGCGGTGTGGTAGCCCAGTGGGTAAAGCGTTCGCTCGTCACGCCGAAGTCCCGGGTTCGAATCCCCACATAGGTACAATGTGTGAAGCCCATTTCTTGTGTCCCCAGCCGTGATATTGCTGGAATATTGCTAAAAGCGGCGTAAAACTAACATCACTAGTGTATACTGATGCATTTGAGTCAAGAAACGTTGTTTAGTTTAGGATTCTGTTTTCAGCCTACCAACGTTTTGATAGCATCTATCATTTTCTAGTCAAATCGAGTTTTCATGTTTATGCTTTCGTTCTTACTGGAATACCAACAATGAGAAACAAGTACTTTGTATTATTGCCAATAAAGGCTGTGTCATTTTATATTAACTTCTGCCTGGAGAGTTAAGCAGATTGAATGCTGAGCCCCGCCACACCAGTAAATTTAGTGCGCACTCACTTCGTCTCCAAGAAAACTTTCCAATTAGATTTTTTCCTCGCGGCTTGGGTCATTTTCAGTTTTATTTCAGTATCGAGTATTCGAGTTTCGTTGTTCAAGTAATTTAAGTTCTAGTTTCAGAGAAGACTTAAATGCTGTTCAACTTCGCGACCGGAAACGCGCCAGTATCAAGTAGTAGATGAACAACAAAGGTGTGGCTATTCGTAACAACCATGCCTGAGACAAACTTAAGACAGTCGTAGCGCTGAGGTGATCGTAACTACCATACCTTAAGAAAAACTTAAGACTATCGTAGCGCTAAGGTGATCGTAACTACCATACCTTAAGACAAACTTAAGACTGTCGTAGCGCTAAGGTGATCGTAACTACCATACCTTAAGACAGACTTAAGACGGTCGTAGCGCTAAGGTGATCGTAACTACCATACCTTAAGACAAACTTAAGACGGTCGTAGCGCTAAGGTGATCGTAACCACCATACCTTAAGACAAACTTAAAACAGTCGTAGCGCTAAGGTGATCGTAACCACGAAACCTTAAGACAAACTTAAAACAGTCGTAGCGCTAAGGTGATCGTAACCACGATACCTTAAGAGAGACTTTAACCAGTCGTAGCGCTAGTTGACAACAACACCACGGTGGAAATCGTTCCCCTATTTTCTGTGAGCAGTATGTTTCTCTGCAGGGCAGGAATGAACACATACACAGTACGTTATTGATCCTCACCGGCAACCTGAATCTAGGCCATACGTATTGTATTATATCCCTCACATCAAATACGTATAACTGAAATACTCAGAACACAATATCTTCGAAGATCACCATACATGTAATACAATGCACATTAAACATTTCGAAAGACTTGTAGCAGGTAGAGACGCGAGGGACGCGGTTGTTTATTCATGATTTAACAAGAGCTAAATTTATCGACCTGATCCTGATTTAAACGAGACCCTAAAGAGTGTTTTTAATCGAAAGCTTTCTTCATGTATCCATGACGATGAACCAGACGGCATGACCCAATGTATGTACTAAATACTGTGCAATGGTGAGTGAGTGAGTGAGTTTGGTTTTACGCCGCTTTTAGCAATATTCCAGCAATATCACGGCGGGGGACACCAGAAATGGGCTTAACACATTGTACCCATGTGGGGAATCGAACCCGGGTCTTCGGCGTGACGAGCGAACGCTGTAACCACTAGGCTACCCCACCGCCCCACTGTGCAATGGTGAAATAGAAATGTATTCATTAATAAATTCATCATAAATAACCATGATGTATACAACAAACGCCTGTGGCATGTTTAGCGAGATTACACAATAGCTTTTGTCTATCCCCTGGGTAGGGAAGAAAGAAGCATAACGAATGAGTGTGGCTCGGTGTTGAATTACAAAAAGATATTACTTATGAGCACGTGATTTTTCGTTCTGGACCCAACAAAGACAGCAGTATAGTACACATGCACGTGTTTCTTTATTTACTAAAGAAACAAATATATCAATATCGTATGTGGATTTTTACCATGAAGGAAAGAGCGGTATGACTTTAGTGGACGTGACATGTCGCTTATGATGAAGCCAAGACATGTAAGCTGAATAAGGAAATAGTCTTTATGCAAGTGACTCTTACTTTTGAGGAAAAATATTTATTTGTACGTGACAGCTGTTGAAGAAATTACTTTTGTGTACTTTTGAATCCAAAATATTTTTGCTCTTTACGCACGTGAATCGCCATCCATGTTTTCGTGTGGAAGGCACTCGGCTAAGGACGCGTGCACGTGTGAGTTACCATGACCACGTTGGAAACTAATGTCAAGTCTAGATGTCATTGATATCTGACAAACAAATTAACACAGCAAGTACTGGTAGTTAGTTAGCAAGTGATCAGGGCGACTATTGTTGCCTGCAGCGGGACGCGACAGTGGGGAGGTTCCCATCAAGCTCATTCAGACGCTGATTTAAGCGTTCGATACACGTGTAATTTGACATTGTTTAGGTGGAGGGACAGATAGAGATGGGGAGAGAGAAAAAGAAAGAGGGGGAGAAAGAGAGACAGCGAGAGAAATACAGGGAGGGGAGAGAATGGGAGGGAGAGAAGAGAAAGCGGGAGGGAGAGAGAGACGAGTGAGAGAAGAGGAGAGAGAGAGGGGAGAGAGAAGAAAGGGGAGAGAAAGAAGAGGGAGAGAGAGGGGAGAGGACGGGGGTGAAAGAAGAGGGAGAAAGAGAGGAGCGAGAGAGGAGAGGGAGAGAGAAAGACAGAAAGAGAGGAGAGGAGAGAGAGAGAGAGGGAGAGAGACAGATAGCACACAGAGTAAGGAGAGTTTACACATAGAGAGAGTACAGTTTCACAGGAAAGGGGGGGGGTTGAAGTAAGGGAGGTCACTGGAAACCAATTACTGCAGCGTCATCAACGCCATTTACATAAATACTCTACTACGGCAATTACACATGACGACGCTGGAACGAGGTCACGAGTGATTTAATTTCATAATGGGCCAAACGTTTAAAAACTCGTTGAATGATCCAATACCGATCAGTCATTCTCGGGGAAGCTAGTCACGTGATAAACATTCAACATCTGTAACATTCCCCACAAGCGGAAACACAGGCCTTATCTCTTCCGTTTCTCTATCAGTATTTTATAATGGTGACAAATTATTTTCAAATACCACAATTATTTTCCACTGATGGAGCATTTCCTTAATCGAAGTTGTTTTTGTATGTTAAATACAGGCTTAAATGCTAGGGTAGACTTCAAGTCATACGAGTTTCCTTTCAAACTAGAATGCTGAGACAAAGTTTGTTTGTTTGTTTGTTTAACCGCTCACTCGGGAATATTCCAGCTGAAAAATCTAGCCTGGACCAGACAATCCAGTGACTGACATCATGAGCATCGACTTACGTAATTAGGATACGATGACGCCGCACTAGGGAATATTCAAACTAATAATCGAGTCTGAAGCAGACAATCCAGTGATTGACATCATGAGCATCTATCGAAACATTTGGGAGACGATGACATAGGTCAACCAAAGCTAACCACCCGATCCCGTCAGTCGCCCCTTAACACCTCTTCCGGGATGCCGGAAACCAATTCTAACCCGGATTTAAACGGGTAGCTGTGACAAAGGTTTACTTGTTACTTGTTTAATGTTTATAAAATCATTTCGATTCACATCTCTCCCATGCATCCATATCTTTACATCGACAAGAAAATATAAATCAACATTAAAATACGATTGAAATTTGCATCCATATGTCAAGTTTGGGAGGTATTCCCGATCATGTGGTCTCTCTGTCCCAGGCATCTTCGTATAACAACAACCCACAATTACATAGCCAGAATATTGCTTACCTGACGTAAAACAACATTCGCACACGCTCTGAACAAAAATAATTGTTCATTCATCTGATTATCCAGTTTTCCTGTACAACATCGTCATACATGAAAGAGGACCTTACCTTATTCTTGTCGATAAGCCACGCTGTGTCGGGACAAGCTAATGAAATGTACCGAGGACGAATGAGGCTGTACACGCGGTCTCGGGCTTTAATAGCAGCTAGGACGTGACAGCAGGCCGGTTGTTTGCTGTGTCAGAGATCAGGAATCGAGGTGCAGCCTGTTCTCATTTCGTCATTCACTTCCTGGATTACGATAAGGATGAAGTTTCGGATATTGATGAAAAAAATACAATTATTGAAATACATGATCCTGGCTCCCCGGTCCTCACCATGATATATGCGTTTAAATATATAATGAATAAAATATATAAACCAGGATACTTCATGAAGCATTGGCCATTTATATTTATTTGGAGGAGATGGGACTCGCCTAAAGTCTGTATGATATCTCTTTTTGTTTCCCGTCCCCAAAACGCCACCCACCGGACCCTCCCCATGAAATATGTGTTTAAAATAAAATACATAATTAATTAAATATAAACCATGCTACTTAACGGGGCATTGGTCATTTTATATTTAATAGGGAGGCGATTTTGGACAGTCTTATAATATTGTATAGGACGTGGGCACTATGAGTAGTTCAATGTGGCCTGTGTTTTAAGATTGTAGTGGGTCTGAATGGAAATGACTGGACGTTTTTTATTAGTCCGAAGATTGAGAATCCGCGATTTGGATCGGAAACAGTTTCGTCCGATGTTAACTACGCTTGTGTGAGATTAAAATTAAACAGAATCTGACGCGGCGACCCCACACGCCCACAGCGTTCTCGAACTTTCTTCTTATTGCTGTTTACTCAAGGAACGAGTCGCATTTACCAGCAGTTTCGTTTATTGTGACACGTCGAATTTTCTTCTGCGTTGTGGTCAAAATATGTGACGAGGGAGAGTCCAGACACTGATCAAAGCTATATGATTGGCCAAATATGTTTCTTCAAATGTCTACGGCATGTCATTGAAAGGGGAGGCTGGGTCCTACCAAAAGTGGTAGGACCAGAGTTAGTTGTAGAAGTAGCAGTGACAGTTGTAGAAGCACTGGCAGCAGAAGCAGTAACAACAGTACTAGTAGCTCTGATTGCTATATCGTATCACGATCTGTCATCTATCCACCCCATGTCACCATTTTGCCACCATCTGCTCACCCTCATGTGTTCTCACCCTCATGTCACCTTCTTGTCACATCTTGTCACCGTTCTGTCACCATCTTGTCACCCTCATGCCACCGTGTTGTCACCATCATCTCACCATCATGTCACCCTCATGCCACCATTCTGTCACCCTCATGCCGCTATCTTGTCACCGTCATGTCACCCTCATGCAACCATTCTGTCACCCTCATGCCACCATCTTGTCACCATCTTGTCACCGCCATGTCACCATCATGTCACCATCTTGTCACCATTCTGTCACCATCATGTCACCCTCATGCCACCATCCTGTCACCATCCTGTTAAAATCATGTCACAATCTTGTCACCCTCACGGCACCTTCCTGTCTCTATGTCACCATCTGCGACCATGATGCCAGCATCTTGTCACCATGTCACATCTTGTCACACTCATGTTACCATCCTGTCACCCTCATGTCACCATCCATCTTGTCACCTTGTCATCATCTTGTCACCATGATGCCCCCATCTTGTCACCCCATCTTGTCACCATCTTGTCACCCTTGTCACCATCTTGTCACCCTCATGTCACCATCCATCTTGTCACCTTGTCATCATCTTGTCACCATGATGCCAGCATCTTGTCACCATGTCACATCTTGTGACTCATGTCACCATCTTGTCACCCTCCTGTCACCATCACGCCACCATCCTGTCACCTTGTCATCATCTTGTCACCATGATGCTAGCATCTTGTCATCATGTTCTCTTTATGTCATTACCATATGCCATCTTGGCATCATCATATTTTACTGTAATATATCATTCATCAACACCGACGAGGTGGGATGTGTCATGACGCTTGTCACTCAAGGCAAATTGTGACAAGCATTTACATAGAGAGTGGAAGTAACCTCTCAACACAAGGACACATAAACATGTACACAATAACAACAAACTCTAGCTAGCAAGAAGCGGCGGTAAGCTGGTATTTCAGCATGGTTTCAAAACTGACGCTCACAGCTCGCTGAACAGGACACTGGAATATATTTATACCCCTACATTCCATCACTCGTGGCTAAAGAAGCGTTCACTTTGATGGGGCAGATTTTATTTCCTGCCTTACCGCTTTCGGGATAGAGCTGTCTCAGTGAATTTGACACCATGATGTGAAATAGAGACATGAAACTGAATTTACAAAACCAATTAAACAGACAATATCTGTGTTTCAAATGCTAATATATTGTCTAAAAATGCCGAGTGAAGGCTATAGCAGTCAAGTACATCTATGTACTGTGCGCTACGTACACTCCACAGTTGGGGTGTTTTGTAATGATATGGGTGTTCTTATATCGCGCCCTGGGCGGTGAGGTAGCCAAGTGGTTAAAGCGTTCGCTCGTCACACCGAACACCTGGGTTCGATTCCCCACATGGGTACAATCTGTGAAGCCCATTTCTGGTGTCCCCCGTCTTGATATTGCTGGAATATTGCTAAAAGCGGCGTAAAACCAAACTCATTCACTCACTTATATCGCGCCCAAAGCCCATAACTTGAACAACTTAAAGCAAGGCGTATGCTCAAAACAATGATCAAGTAATATTATCCTGGATCAGTGTGCACTGCTACCCAAGCTGCCTGTGAGGCGCTGTTAGATTAACAGTCACATGACCATCTCATCCTACCGGGTACCCATTCACTGCTGGGTGAACTAAGGTCACTTGCCTAAAGTGAGACGACATGACTGTGTTACACGTGTTTCGTTATTGGGCAGCACTGAAGTCCTAGAAACTCTCTAGAGTCCAGCTTCCAAATATGGTCTGTCACGTGACCATATATTATGAAGCAAGCTTTGTTTGGTATTGTCGTATCCTGTCACGCTCCCCAGTCGTAACTCCAGTCTACATAGCAAGTGCAGCCAGAAAATGAACTACAAAATGTTCTCATGTCAGGCATCCAATACGAATGCTGCGATCCCAGGCGATTGGTTGACGATCACATTTCACAGATACCGTGGCGCTTAGCATTGCCTGAATGTATGTTGTTTTATGCCTCTTATGTAATATTCAAACTACATCACGTTGTCCAGTAAATATTCCAGTAAGGAACAGGCAGAAGGAGCATGCTCACCATTTACGACATTAGACGGTTAACGACACAAGACGCTTTACGACACAATACGGTTTACGGCTCCGGGATGCACGATAACCTGAACACCAGGTTCATTATACCTGACCCATGTGACAAGTAATTGGTTACTTGGCACGATTTCTACTATGAACGTCCATGGGAAGTAGGGCCTGTAAGTAGGTCACGGCACGAGACCGGTGACAAACAACGTACCCTTGGTCCGGTCTAGTAAAGTCATATTAGGCGGTCGCGCAGTTTGGAACCACAACTGGTTCTTGAACATACACTTGTCACCGGAAATCTGGTATCGGCAGTAAGCTGGGTCCCGTCTCGCATATCGTAAGTTGGCGAGCGCAAAGAGAGCCGGGAACCAGCTTAGTACCGGAAGTAGCGCCTCGCGAGCCTTACAGGCCCTATACGTGAGGTGATTTAAATGCAAAATCTGCGTGCGTGTGCATGTGTGTGTGCGTGTGCGTGTGCGTGTGCGTGCATATCGGTTAATCGTGCTTGCCCACTGAGATACCAAGCTGTATTTTATCATGGGTATCCCATACATACGAGGGGCTATCAAAACGTTTCGAGCCTAAAATACTTCTGATATGTTCATGATAAAAATAACTGTGTAATATTGAAGTATGGTGTATGTCATTCACATAGACGTCATATTGACATGCACATGTCGCTAGTTTCCGGTCACGTGACACCTAATTACGTGTCCCCCTATTGAAACGGCAGAAATGGATAAGCTTGAGTACAGAGCAGTCGTAAAGTTTTTGGTCCTCGAGGGCCACCCGGTGAAGCACGTTGAAGAGCGACTGACAGCAGTACGAGTACCCCATGGGACTCAGTACCATTCTTCAACATCATACAGTTATCATACACATAGCAAAAGTATTTTAGGCTCAAAACCTGTTGATAGCCAGATCTTTGAATGTCATTTAGATGTCATACACATAAGGAAGAGAGTTTGTTTATGGATGTCAACTTCTTTATTATGAGGTGAGGTGAAATTGGGTTTTACGTCGTGCTTGAGAATATTTCGCTCATATGACGACGTGCATGCGTGTGTATGTGTATGTGCGACTGCTTGTACTAGTCCAGACTGAAACTGGTTTTATAGTGCTAGCCCACTGAGATACCATGCCGCAGTGAAGCATGAATTCCCCACTCAGACACATTATACTGACTCCGAGCCGACCTGTCCTTGTTGAACCCATTAATGCCGAGCGCCAGGCAGGGACCAACAAGTACCATATTTTAACGTCTTTTGGTTTGACGCGGTCGGGGATCGAACCCGCGACCTTCCACTCTCCGGGCGGACGCTCTAACCACTACACCACGGAGGCGGTCTCTTTATTATGAGGAACAGAACGTTTCTGAGTATATCCTTACTCCTCCATCAGGTGATAGTCCCTCGTAATATCCGAGCGGAACAGAAATTGGTTTATACCGAAAGGCCTTGTGCTTAAAGCGTTGCCTTGTCACGCCAAAGACCCGGCTTCGGTTCCTTGTATAAAGGATACAATCTGTAAAAACAATTTCTGGCGTCCCACGCCTAAACATCGAGCACCTGGCAGTGCAAGAACACCTTCCATCTGTTAACGTCTTTTGGTATGACTGGGATCGAACCAACAACAGTCCGCTCTCGGGGAAGACGCACTATCCACTAGGCCACGGAAGCTATCGAGGAAATACGTACAAAGATAGATTGTTGATTTTGTTGTTGTTTAAAGTTGCACTCAGAAATATTCCGGCTTTTTAAGGAAGTCATTAAATCGAGGGATTGCATGCCTCGCAATTTGGAACGATAACAAAGTGATATGAACCTTTGCTTGTAAAGCAGAAGATCCAGGTTCGTTTCTCAACACTATTACAATGCATGAAGCTGATTGATAGTGTCTCATATCTTGATAATGCTAGTATAAGCGTCGGAAAAGTCATTCAAAGATAA